GTGGGGGTCGCGGGGCCGGGTGTGGGGCCACCAGCCAATAAGAATCCCCGAGGTAAATCGACTACTCAATTAACCGAAGTTGAACATCCTAGTGGAGGACCCTTGGTCCAGCGTGTCCCCGAGTGCAGCAGCCCAGGAGCCGCAGGCAGACTTGTACCTTCTGAGCGATCTTCTTCATCTCCGAGACATACGCGGCCATGGCCTCCTCTCTGGGCATCTTCCCCAGCCGGTTCCACGCGTCCCTGCCAAGCACACTGCTCGCGACAACACCAGGCTGCTACGGTTCAGCCTTACCACTTATACCGGCCGATGGGATCCCAGAACCCAGGCCGGGGGACCTCGCAGCTGCCCACTGTCGCCTGCTTGTAGTAGCTGTAGAACCGAAGCATCACCTCGGGGGGGGGGCGGTAGGACCCTAGGATACCAGGCAAAGCCATCAGACCATGAGCCACTTCCCCACCCCCGCCATTACCGTGACCCTGTCGGTGGGGCGCTGAGCCCATGCCTCAGCGAGGTGCCAGCCGAGCCCTTGCTGCTGGAGCTCCGCCCTTCGGAGGAGGCACGGAGCTGAGGCGACCTTTTGATCACGGAAGGACTCAGGAGTCAGGGTGTTAACCACGACCCGGGTCCAATTCCCACTCAGTTACATTCTGCCTCCCTAACTCTCCCACTGGCACTTTTATCTGGAAAGTGCAGAGGGTGCGTCGTGTTGCTGGGCGCTGTTAACTAGCAGCTGCATCCCACCCCAGAGACAGCCGCACTTCAGAGGTGGGCGATGGTGTTTGTGCTTTGGGGCGAGAAGGCCCATATACCATAAGGTGCTATGAATATGGGAGAGAAACGACGAGGGAACACTCCTGGAACCTGAGGCTGCCCAGAAAGCACCAGAGATGACATCTTCCACGTTGCTTTTCTCCTCTCACGTGCAAGCTGAAATTTCACATGACCTAGTGCATCAGGGCCAAGATTTTCCAGCACGGGGTGGGACGGCCCAGAGACAGGCACATAAATAAATATGAAGTGCAAGTGCTCTGCACCTCTAATAAACCCTGGGGGATGGGGCAGGTCAGGCCCGTAAAAACTGTCAGAACCAACAGATTCAAACTCCATCCACCCTCCAGTGCAGGGTGCTACCGGAAAGGGAGGCGTCTCCTGGGCTGCATACACACGCCTACTTTTGCAATCCCCCACAAAGGAGAGATTCCTTCCTGACCGCCCACTGGTGATCAGAGCGTGGCCTGAAGCATGTGGATTAATCTGTTGTTCTTATCCTCCCTGGTGTAATTGCCAATGGAATTCGGATTTGCCAGGTCAGGACATGAAAACACGGCTACTGTCGGAGACCCGACTGTGAAGGGGCACCCAGCCATGTCACACAGTTTAACTGATACGGACCCTTTTTTGCACCCTTGTACTAACTAGAGCCATTGCTGTAGAACCAGCCTGCCTAGGACTTAACTTGTGTTCTGCCAAGCACTAGAGATCAGGAAACTACAGACCGGTCAGTTTAACGTCTGTCCCAGGGAAGATAATGGAGCAGGTAATTAAGGAAATCGTATGCAAACACTTGGAAGGTAATAAAGTGATAGGGAATAGCCAGCATGGGTTTGTGAAGAACAAGTCATGCCAAACTAATCTGATAGCTTTCTTTGATAGGATAACGAGCCTTGTGGATAAGGGAGAAGCGGTGGATGTCATATACCTAGACTTTAGTAAGGCATTTGATACGGTCTCGCATGATATTCTTATTGATAAACTAGGCAAATATAACTTAGATAGGGCCACGATAAGGTGGGTGCATAATTGGCTGGATAACCGTAGTCAGAGAGTTGTTGTTAACGGTGCTAAATCCTGCTGGAAAGGGATAACAAGTGGAGTTCCGCAAGGGTCTGTTTTGGGACCCGTACTGTTCAATATCTTCATCAATGATGTAGATATTGGGATAGAGAGTACGCTTATTAAGTTTGCAGATGATACCAAACTGGGTGGGGTTGCAACTTCTTTGGAGGATAGGGACATAATTCAAAATGACCTTAGCAAGTTAGAGAAATGGTCAGAGGTAAACAGGATGAGGTTTAATAAAGGGAAATGCAAAGTGCTCCACGTAGGAAGGAACAATCAGTTCCATACATACAAGATGGGAAGCGACTGTCTAGGAAGGAGCATGGCAGAAAGGGATCTAGGGGTAATTGTGGACCACAAGTTGAATATAAGTCAACAGTGTGATGCTGTTGCAAAAAAAGCAAATATGATTCTAGGTTGTATCAACAGGTGTGTTGTAAGCAAAACTCGTGAAGTCATTCTGCCGCTCTACTCTGCACTAGTTAGGCCTCAGCTGGAGTACTGTGTCCAGTTCTGGGCGCCACATTTCAAGAAAGATGTGGAGAAATTGGAAAGGGTGCAGAGAAGAGCGACAAGAATGATTAAAGGTCTAGAGAACATGACCTATGAAGCCAGGCTTCATGAACTGGGCTTGTTTAGTTTGGAAAAAAGAAGATTAAGGGGGGACATGATAGCGGTTTTCAAATATCTAAAAGGGTGTCACAAGGAGGAAGGAGAAAATTTGTTCCTCTTGGTTTCTAAGGACAGGACAAGGAGTAATGGGCTTAAAGTGCAGCAGGGGAGGTTTAGATTGGACATTAGGAAAAAATTCCTAACTGTCAGGGTGGTCAAATATTGGAATAAATTGCCAAGGGAGGTGGTGGAATCTCCCTCTCTGGAGATATTTAAGAACAGGTTAGATAGACATCTGTCAGGGATGGTGTAGACGGAGCTTGGTCCTGCCTTGAGGGCGGGGGGCTGGACTCGATGACCTCTCGAGGTCCCTTCCAGTCCTATTATTCTATGATTCTATGATCTCCCCAGGTTCTGCCTCCCGGCACTGCAGGCTCTAAGCACAGCCACACTACAACCTGCCCCAGCAAGAGCAAAGTGCTGGCTGAGAGCCCCGGGGCCCAGTACACCCCGGGTGGCAGCAGCTCAGCCTGCCTCTGCCCTGTCTGCGGCAGGGCCGGGGTGCCAGGC